ATACGATCTCCATCATTCTCCCATGATTGAGAAAAAATCTCATCCGGAGAGTTTTCAAAGCAAAAGTATCCTATAAGAGAAGTATGAAGATGATAGAAATGCCTCATCGAAAATAAAAGAATCATCAACATCTTTTCATCGATTAGGATAAACACAAGAATCTCCATCTGTAGAAACACCGGCTAACAAAATAGGAGGCTTTGGAGTACCTCAATTAAGTAGCATGTCCTCCAAATAAAAATCTAGACTAATATTAATATTCAACAAAAAATTAAACAAATAAGCATTAGATTCAAACTCGAGAATAACAAATCAATTCTCATTTGGTTTCAACAAAAATATTCAATGGGACAAGACATCGATGACAAAAGAGGGACAATAATGCCTTGGTGGTGAAAATAATTAAGTAACAACTCAAGTGAAAGCTTGATAGTAGGAATAAAGTCAATTATTTTAGAGGTGAAAGACTTGAAAACAAAGTTAGATTGACTTGAAATAGGAGACACAAAACAACCACCAAAAAATTCTCAACATACTCGACATCTTTCATAAGTGTGGACTCGACAAACTTTTCAGCGATTTGCAAGACCAATGATGGTTCAAGAATTGATACAAGTAAAGACTCACACACACTTTCTTTCGATATGAATTCTTGTGGGTGCAAAGGATGAGGACTATGATCCAATGAAACTAAATGAGGGAGTTGAAAATCAATATGAGTAACATTTTTCTCTTTATCCGATACTAGCATATCTAAATCATTTGCCACATTCGGATTAGGAAAGCATGAAGAAATGACATGGACATCGTTCAAATAATCATCATACTCATATGTGGTGGAATTAAAATTAGAAGGTGTTCTGTCACATTGTTTATCAGACAATGATTGAGAACTCATCAAGCTATAGTTGGATTTCTTATGAAATCTCTTAACCTTTAGAGCATATTGATAGGTTGCAACTAATGTATTAAAAGTGTATATAACTTGACTTCCTTACTAATTTTTTGTCTCAACTCAAGAATAAACCAATTGTCCAAGGTTTTTCAACAATGTCACACAAGTACATGAGATATTCGAACCCGCAAAGTAATCAGAGACACTAAAAGAATGTTATCTAAGATTGAGCAATTGGTCATAAAATTAATTCGTGTAGGAAATAGGCAAATATTTCTCTTTCAATTTATATCTCATTTCAACCCAGATAATAGGTGATTCTTTTAAACTGTCTAAGCTTCTTTGGATTGCTTGTCAATAGCGTTTAGCGGAACCCTCCAACATCAATTTATCAAAACGGACGCAATGGGAATCCGACATACCAGGCCAATCAAAATATTCTTCTAAATTAGCTAATCAATCAAAGAATTCAAAAGGATCTAAAATGCCACTAAATATAGAAGGATCTTTGACTAGTTTGGTCATTTGGGTTTACTTCACGTAAACATTCTTAGACTTCCTATTATAATGACTTTGACGAGAGACTCTCGAAACATGTGCATTAGAGGAACTCATGAGTGACTCTTGAAAGATAAGAATGATATAAAAACAAGTTCAAGAATGCAATTGACAATTTCAAGAAGTGAGAAAGTTTAAATAGAAGAAAATGTGTTTTGGACCCTTTACAAATTCTCTAATTTCCCAATAAATAAAAATATTAGTCTCAAATTCTATGAGAGTATGCATACCATAATCAAGAGAAAATTATGAAACTTTTTTGGGGATGATTTTGTAATTTCTGAAACTTCTGAGGAGGATTTTGGAATTTCTGAAATTTTTGAAAACCTTTTGTGATATGTCTACAGTTTCTGAAACTTCTGAGGTGATATTTTTGCAATTTTTGGAGGATGTTTCTTCAATTTTTGAAATTTTTGGAATGAGTCTGCAATTACTGAAACTTCTGGAGGATGTAATTTCAGAAGTTTGGGGCAGACTGTAATTTTTGAACTCTGGGACAGATCTGCTATTTCAGGAATATGTGGGCGGAACTGTAATTTCTGGATTTTTTTTTTTTATTTAATATGTACTGTACTAGTTACTGTTGGGGCAACGAGTGTATTGGGTCTGTGGGAAGTCCTGGATTTAGAGACTGGGCTAGGCTTCTTGTGGGTTTGAATCAAATGGGCTTGGTAAATGGGGTGATTAGGTTAGGTTATTGGATTGAGCCAAACTTGAGTTGTGTCAGGTTAAATTTGGGCTGTAATGATTTGGGGGAAATGGTGTTTTGGCTGGAATGGTTTGGGTTAACTGGAGTTTGGGCTTTAGACCAGATTAAATGAATGATAGATGAGTCTTATCAAACTACGTCACATTTGGGCCAAACATTTTAGAAAGATATGGGTCAGATCAAAGCTGAAATGGGTTGGTAGTGGGCTGAACAGGTTCTGGGTTTACATGACTTTGTTTGATTTTCCTCTTGGACTAAGTAAAATCTGGATCTGAATTTAAAGCATATTAAAATTAGGGTTTTTTGGGTGTAGGTACAATTTTTTAAACTTATTTTAGCAAAAGTGTATAAATAAGTTGTTTACTCTATTAAGTACAATTTTGATAAAATTTTTTGTGTTTAGGTACAAAATTCAAATGAATTAAAATTTTTTTATCTAAACACACTCCCTTAAATTATGTAGTCATCACTGACAGTTATTTGAGAAAACACATATGTAAAGATTAACAATATTAATGAGAGGTAAAATAAGGGCATTAATGATCAAAACCCTTTTTCTTCGACAACAGGATTCTATGGCAATGAGATTTGATTAGAATGACACAAATTATGTGAATAAATAATGAATTTTTCCCCAAAAAAAAAGAGAGAATTGGCCTAGATGTTTTGTTAGATATTATGTATTGTTCGTTGTTGGAATGTAGAAAAAAAAAACTTCTTTTTTTTTTAATGGGTGTAACTGTTTTTTTAATGAGTTTAACTATTTTTTTATTGAGTATAACTATTTTTAAATTGGTGTAATTCTTTTTTTAATGGGTATAACTGTTTTTAATGGTTGTAATTCTGTTTTTAATTGGTGTAACTGTTTTTTAATTTGTGCAACTATTTTTTTAATATGTGTAACAATTACATTTTCATGCAATTGTTAAGACGTGATGATGTAACGATGTTGCGATACTAAATGGTGAAACTATGTAATTTATGTAAACAACTGAATGATAAATTGGTTTGGTGTCATAATTTTGTGTAACTGTGTAGTTTATTAGAATGCATGAGTACCTGTTTGGTATATTATAGGACAATTGTAACTGATTAGTATAACTGTGATGTTGTAATATTAATATAAATAGAGTAAGAGAAAATAGGGAGAAAGAGAGAGAGAGAGACAGAAATATTGTTAGAAAAAATATGCCCCTATTTTATCTCTCATTACTTGATTGTAGCCAAAATATATGGAATGAATACAAAGGGTTTCAACCCATCAGCTATTTACTGAATGAAAATATTTACATTTTTTAAAAATATATACTTTAATCCAAATAAGTTTTTGTGTTATATGTTTGCTCAAATAAGTTTAAAAAATTGTACCAGCTTCCAAATCACCCTTAAAATTACAGCTACTCTTCTATTCTTCCAACTGAAACCCTAGGTTCCAAACTTGTAACAGTGTCCGCACAACACTCAACGAAGACAATAACAATCAAGTAACTAATAAATGTCTTCTCCCAGACGATGATGAAACACGAAAATAGGTCATCGATGGACAACGATCTAAGACCCGAAATACGTATGTTTATCATGAGAAGCAGTATTGTTGTACTGATAAGTTTTATTTTAACAAAAAAAAGATTTCGCTTTGTCTAATTGTCCGCAATATTGTTTGAAAGATTAAATGTGTATTATCAAAAGATGATTTGATGGAGTTGCCCATTGGCCTATAGACTTGACGTGGGCGAGCTTTTTCTCCTTGACCTTGTTCAAATTTTTCCGTAGAGGCATTAGAGTTAGGAGCTGACGGTTGCTGATTGAACTTCTCTTTGCTAACTGCATCAGTTGCACTAGAGTTTTTTGAACGAAGTTTGCAGTTTAACTTTGCATGACCTTGTTTGGAACAAGACATATAATACCTTAAGTCCTTATCATAGACGATTTTCTATCATCTTCCTTCATTTTGTCCCATGCCAAATCAGACCCATAACAATATGCGTAGTTTTAAATTTAATCATATACCTTTACTTCTTTAATTCACAAAAAAATGATCCTTAATCATCTCTTGGCAACAAATACTTCTCAGCGAACCATCTAGTGAATGCTAGTTCTGGTTCCTTGAATTAGTCACGTTTTGTATCCTATTTTTTAGGTTTCTCCGTATTGCTATGTTTGTCTCGTATACTTGTTTTCCATATTGATATCATTACTTTCTAGGTAATAATTAAGATTAGGTTGCGTTAAGCATCGGACCAAGTTCCAGAAGTTTTGCATAAACGCACTATTATAAATTGGGAGATCAAAATATGACTTTAGGCTGCTGAGATTCTCTTAATTCCACTAGGACTAAGACTAAGCAATGGGAAACTGCTTGTTGTTTGATTGTAGACTATTCTGAGACATCTAAGATCACACAAGATGACCTAATAGGATAACTTGGCTCATAACTCAACAACTAATGGCCAACAAGTATTTAAATTACCTAAAGCGCCTTTAACCTTTGAATTGTGATGAAATAGAAGAAAACTGTTCCAGACTTTCTTACGCTGAAAATGCCCATGGAATCAAACTTGATTTAAAGCAAAACTGGATAACATTTAAAAATTCCAATTTCTTTCCTTTCCACATGTTCTGCATGGGTTAGGGGGGTTGTTAAGTTCAACAATGAAGTACGTAGGTTCAAGTCTAAGAGTAGTTACTTTGGGTAAACTTACCAAAAGTTAGCTCTATATATAGTCTACTCTTCCCAGCTGCTTAAGTGGGACCACACTGGTTAGGAACTTTTACGCTATGCATAGCGTTATTCGTATGAAAGAGGCTATTTTTCACATTCATTGCACAGAATGACAGGGAAGACGATCCAAAGGGGTTGGGGGTAGAGGACGGGAGCTGAAGAACAAGTTGAAGCTTCTTACAGTGACTGAAGAGAAATGGCAAAAGAAAAAAAAGGACCAAATCTGCATGAAATGTTGCTTTTGTTTTGATTAAGTTGTGTTCCAGCGTCCTATTTATACAAAATTGTATCAGGTGATCTCTTTCTCACTCTATCTGGTAAATGATCAGGTGATAAGTGTCATTGTTATCCAATGGTTTGTATCTGTTTCAGTTTTATGATTCTAATTTGTAATAATTCCTTTTGATTTTTTCATTTGTGTCGGCCAACCCAATGTTGTGCAGTTGCCACAACTGATGTAGTTCTGTATGATGAAACTGCAGTTAAAATTACTTAAGTTGGATAGGTAAGACGATTCAGGTGTATGGATTTCCCACTCATGAGTCTGCAGCAGTGGTTCTGAAATTTCTAGAGGATTATACAGGAAAAGGAACTGTGTATGCTTTAGAGGTTAAGGTTTCCAAAGAAGGGCATAGAGCATATGCTAAAGTACAGTTTACCAATAACAGAAGTGCCGAGGATATCATCTCATTGGCAAATCAGTGGCTCTGGTATAGGTCTTCTTATTTGAAAGCTTGGGAAATGGACTCTGACATCATACCAATGCCTCGGACCTATGCGCATTGCATGGAACAGGTAAGCCTACATTTTGGGTGTCAGACATCAAGGAAGAAATTTTCAGTTCTCTGGAAAAAAACAAATGTTTCTGTAAAATTTGGGATTGGATTGAAAAAAATGTACTTCTTCCTATCCCACCGTTTTGTTGGTTACAAGCTTGTGCTATCCTACGAAAACATCTGGCAAGTTGAGCTACACTGTCCACGTGGTCAAACTGCAAAGTTTCTCCTCATTCAAGTCTGTACCATTAATTTTCACTAATACGACCATATTGGCATGTCAGTATTTTCTTTTCATTGTTCTTTATATGTTGAACAAGTGGATTTCTTCAGTCTTTGTACTTAATTTGCATGGACTTCTTAACTTGCACCTCTAGTTTATGTGATGGCTTCCGTAAATGTGAAATTATTAGTGATTAGGAAATCCCCCAAACTAAGATGCATAGTACAGTTGTTCTGAACCGATTAACTTAGTTTAGAATTTTACCATTAAATTGATCTATATAGACCCATTGATTTATGTGTCGTGGTACCCTATTACTGGAAAAAAAACGTTTCTTTGTGGATGCCTTGAATTATGGTGGGACTTTGTCCAAAAAAAATTATGGTGGGACTGGGACAAATGAGTAATATTCGTTCATCCAGGATTATGAAACCATCCCCAGCGAAGTGATGTAATAATAAAGGTGCTTGGGAATAGAGAGGGAGGACTCTTGAGAACACCGTGTGAGGTTGAGCCCAGTAGGGTGATTTTGTATCTCTGAGAGCTTTTAGTAGATAGGCTAGGTTACAATTTACATGCTTCTTGTGGAAATTGGTGACTGCAAGGTTTATATGGGCTTGGTAACCTTTGCTGAAGTATGCGGCTGGCGTTGATCAAAAAAAAAGAAGTATGCGGTTGGCGGTATAGTTTGAACAATACATTAGGAGGCAACAACTGTCCCAAGGTTCAGAAAGCCTTTTATTTGTTTGGATTAGGTGAATCGTTTCATCCTTATCTGACAGGGGTCTAAACTTGTTTAAGTGGCCATGCCCTAGAACCACTATAGCTACCTAGGGCTTGTTTGATCTTCCAGTTGCCACTGATCAGGACTAGTCCGTCCTAATAGTCATATGTCAACTATTAAGAGGATTACCCTTGAATGAAACGCTTCTAGTTGTTTCCCTTGAATCTATAACGAAGAAATGTGGCGACCTGAGTGTGACTCAGGTTGGACACCTCATTGGCACTGGTAGTGTTTCTTGTGATATGTTTCTAGCTGGGGTTAATCTAGCTTTTCGATAATACTTCTTAGTGTAACAAGTGAGGAGGTTGCTAGAAGTTCATGATGTCCTTCCAGTTCCTCGAAGTGCTCTATGTTAGTTAGATCATCTAAGCATCAGCCACATGATTGTTTCGTTTGAATAATTAGCCTGCTCAGTAATGATGCCTCATTTAATTAGCTGATCATTAGACAATTTTGAAACACCCTATTTTTCAACTTGTGCAAAACTTTTGTCATCTAACGGCGAGGATGGAAATTTTGTTTCATTCCACCAAAACGACTAAAACATTTCAGTTTTCATGGAAACTAAAACAATTAGGATTGAATATTGAAACTTCTTCTTTCGAGGTGTCTCAGGATGTTTTGCAAACAAATTCTTCATTTTTTTTAAGTTCACATTTTGTTTCCAAAATATCTTGAAACATTTCCATTACCTAGTTGTCCGAAACTTTGTATTGAAACAGAATTTTTGTCTTGTCTAACTGTAAAATATGCTTCTGCCATCATTTACGATGGAGAAAAAAGGTTTCACTTTTTGCAATTACGTTCTACTTGATTTAATGACATAGCAAATGTCAAAACAACCTTATAATTGTGTTTTATCTGAGCCATAGTTTCTTGGCTTTGGGCATTGATCAAACGCCCACGGAGCTTCGTTATCCTATTCCTAACTATTGGGGTGAAGCTGATTGTCAATTTTGATTTGAGGACTCGTTGGACTTTCATCAAACATTAGATTAGTGTCCCATATTCAGTATCTTCATTACTTCATTTTGAAGATGATCATTCATCTACGTGTTTTGTCATTTTGTTATTTGGTGCATCGGTTTAACTTATGTGTTCTCCATCAGCATGTTACCTCCCTTTACATGTCTTGTCACGTGTTTTTGCTTATACATGGTATGTAGAGTTGGTAATTAGCACACCTATGCATATTCTCTCTTTTGATCTAGTTAAATGGTGCTCCTCGGATCTATGATCAAGTTGAAGATTCCCTTCATAGCTATTTCAAGGAAACCCCTAATGATCAATGGGTCAGGACAACTGATTTCACCCAATCATTCTGTATCGGGCAATCTTCTAGTTTATGTCTGGAGATTCCTTACGGAATTCAGCTTCCAAATTTCCACAAAATCTTTCCTTAATATAAAGAAAGTGCAAGCCAATTTACATTGGTGAACGGTTACACCTTTTCTGAAAATTTGGATCTAGTCCCCATTGTGGGTCCTCCACGTGAACTTGAGTTGTTTTATGTTATTTTTTTTTGGGGAAGGAGAGGGAGACTTGAACATTTGACTTCAAAAAGGCAAAGTCTTAACAAGATAAAAAGTACTATTGGACCAAAGGTTCGTTGGTTGGACTTGAATTACCATATAAAATATTATTCAAGATTTGTTCCTCGGTTCAACATGGGTGTCTTCCGGGACCAGCACTTAATATCAATTTTTTCCGTTTGGTTGATCCACGGAGAATGGATATTGGATTTATTGAACATGCCCTAGAGAAATTGTCTCATTTGAAGGAGTGTTGCTATAACCCTCTAAGGTGGATTTGTCAGGAATACCTAAAATACCGCAACCTGATGTTGCTTTAGATGATGGGTTGGTATATGTACGTAGGGTTCAAATAACCCCATGCAAAGCCTATTTCTACGGTCCAGCGGTTAATTTGTTTAATTGCGTATTACGCAATTATTCTGCATATATTAATAATTTTCTTCAGGTTTCTTTTATCGACGAGGAGGGGGATAAAATGTATTTCATGGACTTATCTCCCCGTACAGCTTCTGCAAACGACGACAGAAGAACTGTTGTTTATAAGAGGCTCTTTTATATCATCTCCAAAACACCAAAATCCTCCAACTTATATTGCAACATATAAGGCTTTCAAATCACTGTTGGAAACCTAAGTTGACATTAAAACTGAAAATGCAACATGCTATCTAGACTTTAAAGCATCTCTAATCCTTATTCTTTTTTAAAAAAATTTAAATAAAAATAACTTAAAAATCCTCTCTAATTTTATATCTAAATTACGGTTGATAATTGAGTCGAATCTTTCAAATTCATTTTTCTAAACAAACCTAAACACATGTATTTAAACTCAACTCGTTTAAAAAATAAATTGAGTCTGACCTAACCCCAAAACAAGTCGAACTCGAGCCGAACCCTTGAAAGTTGTCATTGTGATTGAAAATGGAACAATTCTTTGTATCCTGCATTCACTTGTTTTAATACTTTGATGTCTTAAATCGTCCAACGCTGCTTACGAAATACGAATGGAACCACCTGAGCGCATATCTGATTGTTAGGCTCTCATTTAGAACCTTGAACTCATCGTAGCTATGAGGCTCTTTTATATCATCTCCAAAACACCAAAATCCTCTAACTTATATTGCAATATATAAGTCTTTCAAATCACTGTTGGAAACCTAAGTTGACATTAAAACTGAAAATGCAACATGCTAACTTTATGAAACAACTCTAAAACTCCAAAAAACAAACATACGGTGCTATAAATCTTTTTGTTTTCTGAACATCATATCAAGGACCCACTCAAGCACATCACTATATGGGACACGCCCTTTTTTTCCCCCAAATGGGATCCACCTAACCACGTCTTCCTATGGGGGGCCAGCGAAATAGGTCCAGTTCTCGTATCACCTGTAACGACTCAAGTCAATTGCATGTGATACTATCTGCATTTGAGTTGCTCATAACTTAATGCGTTCCCAATCTGAAATCTGCGTTCAAACACATCCAATCATTTTCTTTTTTTGGTCTGACATCCAATCATTTTTGTACTCTCTAATCTCTAACCCCCTGTTTAGTTGGAGGAAAAATAGGGAGGATAAAAAATGGAGAGAGGAAAGTGAGAGGGAAGGCTTCACTTTTCATTGTTTGGTTTGAAAGAAAAATGGGAGGAAATGGAAAATGGAAGGGAAAGAGAATCCCTGGCGCCCACCAAACTTTTTCCACCCATTTCTAGGCGGAAAATTGACTAAAAAATGGAGGGAAGATGGCATTTTTTAAAAATTGACTATTTTACCCTTCTTCAACAGACAAAACGCATTCGCTGTGTAGACACAAAAGACTTCACGTCGTCTTCATCATTAGTAAAAAAGAAAAAAACAAAAAACATCGAAATTGGTCCGATATGGTTCAATCTTCATCACAATCCCCAAATTCTCAGTAAAAAAGAAAAAACCAAAAGTAAAATAGAAAGGAAGAAAACATAAAATCTACATGAATATTTAGTTCTGTGCATAAAAAAAAAATACCAAGAATAATTAGAAAAAAAAAAACAAAAATCATAGCCTTCTCGGATATAGACGAAGCGATCCACAAGGCATGACAAAGAAGTCTTCTTCCACTGCGCAATCAGGTAACCCACAGTAAAGGATGAGACTTGAGAGTCATCGATAGTAGCCTTCTCAGATGTACACGAAGCGATGTATACAAAGCCTCTCTCTCTCCGATGATCTTTTTCCATTCGTCCATCTCTCTCTCTCTCTCTTTTTCTTTGATCAAGATATCTCTCTCTCTCTCCGATGTAGACGAAGCGTCTCTGAGATGCCAACATAGGCTGTAATTCAATACTTTTTTTTTTGTCTTTTTGGGTAATTTTTTAATAGTTACTTTTTTTGTGGGTAAAAATATTGTATTAATTTACATTATAATTGCTAAATCACTCAAGAGACGATAATTGCTAAATTTACATTACAATTGGATTTATTTTCAATTTTTAATTTAATCTAAAATTAAATATTGAATTACATTAGATTTGGATGTAAATCTATAATTTATATAGCTATTTATAATTTATGGGTACAACTTTACATGTTTAATATTTTTAAATATCACAAAAAGTAATTACTATAGAAAAATTTACCACTTAGATGTGAGGGTATAATGGTAAATTTGATATATATTTTTTCTTTCCATCAAATTTTTCATTCAATATCAAACAAAAGAAAATATATCTTTTTAATTTTTCATCTATCATACCAAACATAAATTAGGAAAAATATATTCCTTCCCTTTAAGGATGGAAAATCTTTCTCATCTATTTTTCATGCTTCCAACTTTCTATCCTTCTTATCAAACGGACCATAAAGGGAAAGGAAAGGGGAGAGAGAGAGAGATCCAGGTTTGGTCTCATGGGTGGGTCAGCCACCAGTTCGGAGCTCTGATCTGGGTTTGAGTTTGATAGACTGTGGGCTTAGGAGCTCTATTGAATTTGAGTTGTGTGTTTTGGCAGTGTTTGTGTACTGAACCAAGCCACCAGTGTGTTCTTTTGTGTTAGCAGTGTGCTCGTGTGTGTACACGCGTTTGAAAGCGAATGTAGGCATTCATGTTTGATAATGCATGTTGGCTTTTTTTTTTTTGGGGGGGGGGGGGAGAGGGGAGAGGAGAGGAGGAACCGAGGTGGTTCGAAATTTTTTTAAGGCTACTTATTTTGTTTTAATTTTTAATTTTCATATTTTTAGTTTATTTTTTTCTTTTTTAATTTTCGTTTGGTGTCTTAAAGGGTAAGTGAGCATGTTTAGGAAAATGGGATGTTTTCGGCAGATTTTGTGAGGGTATCCCATGAAATAGAAATCTGAACTAGGAGTGCAAAGTAATTTCAAAAACTTTGAGCGCATCTGCTACAGTTTTAGCAAAACTTTTAAGTGTTATTCCACCTTAAATTTAATAGACTAAGTTATGGTTTAGTTTTGTTGTTCCAGTAAAATTCAGAGTGGCAGTGATGAACAGGGTTGCTACAGGAGTTTGTTCAATTGTATTTGAGATTATACTTTTTTATTGATCTTGTACCTTTCCGTAGTACAGCCTCATTATATAGGTTGCAGCATAAGTTTCATTTGAAATTACCTTAGTTCATTCAAAGCAATCGTTTACCGCAGCATATTCTAGAAGCCATGAAGTTTTTCTGGAATACCTATCTGTCATTACCATAACAACAGAAACTACTACAAGCAGTTTCCACCACCAAAAAGTGAATAAACAAATTCTCCTGTGTCTACAACTACTACTAAACTAGCTACCTAAGATCCAAAGGGAACTCTGCAAAAAAAAAAAAGCATCAGGTAGAACGAACTGTTTTTATAGGACAATGAGTAAAATATCCTTGAAATTTAACTGCTTAAAATTCTTCTTTGTATTGGTCGTTTTAGCATCTTGTGCCATGGTGTCACTTTTAAAAAAAATATCTTGGTTTGCTCTCCCAAAGACAGTAATTTACATTAGTACTGCTCCCATCATCACCACATCTGCTGCTCTGCTACCATATTGCTTGCTTTCTCTGCCCATGTCGCAATGTGTTATTCGCTATGCATTTTGCTTTATAGTGGGTAATAAGCAGAACTGCATCTGAAAGAGAGAATGAACATGACATTTACCCTGGCTAGGAAATTAGCTGACTTTACAGCGGTAGCTTGAGGTGAAGTAGCGGCAGCACACCTTGCTTATGAAAATCCAAAATAATTTCTAGGGAACTCGGTCATACTCCTTGGTTAATTTAGTTTGTCTGTTTTGGACAATGCATCAGATTTTTATGTTTACTGCAGGAAGTCGTGGAGTATTTTACCAACTATATAGTCAATGACAGTTTAGGAATTATTTCAAATGCCCACACAGTCTTTGCTGATAGGGAACCTTACAAGGCAATGAGTGATCCTTGTCTAGAGCTTGCGAGGCTGTTTTCAATTGCAGTTGACTTCCCTAAAACTGGAGTTCCAGCTGAGATACCCCCTCAACTGCGTGTCAAAGAGTATCCAGATTTCTTGGAAAAGCAGGACAAAACCACCTACACATATCAGAATGCGTGATTGGAAAGCTTTTCCGAGGGGTAAAAGACATTGCACCAAACACAAGCTCTATTAGAACCTTCACAAGGGAAGTGGCGAGACGGTCATATGATCCTGACATGGAAGTAGTTGGTTTCGAGGATTACATTAATGATGCATTTGCATATAAAACTGAGTATGATTACAAGTTGGGAAACATGATGGATTACTATGGCGTAAAAACCGAATCTGAAATACTGAGCGGGTGAATTATGAAAATGTCAAAATCTTTCGACTGGAAAAGGGATGCAGAAGCAATTGGTTTGGCTGTAAGGTCCTTAATGAAGGAAGCCAGGACCTGGGTCAAGCGGAAAGGGAGTGATTCGGATGCTGGAGCTGATGACGTTTATGCAAAAGCATCGGCTTGGTATTTTGTAACATATCATCATAGTTATTGGGGTTGCTACAATGAGGGAATGGATCGGGATCATTTTCTTAGTTTTCCATGGTGTGTTTATGACAAGCTGATCCAGATCAAAAAGGATAAATCAACTCTCAGAAGGGCTCTCCATATGTCTTCACTTGAACGATTGAGTCTGAGTTGAGAACTTTGGCGTCAAGCCAGTTCAATATTTTCCTAATTTGAAGCATGTGAAGCTGTGTGATTTTATGGTTTTTCTTGGCTACCTTAGCAGCTTATGTACGTATTCATGTTCTGTGTTAGCTTATTTGAGGGTGTATATTGTCTGAACTTGTAGGTGTAAATGGGCAGTGCGTATGTACAAAAATCATAAATGATGCTTTAAATGGGCAGTGTGTATGTACAAAAATCATAAATGATGCTTTCCTAATCGTTTTTCTTCAATTCTGCGGCTTTGTGCTGGGTGCCAAACCCTTAATATATATTCTTGTTAGCAGAGGCATGACGAAGTTTAACACATTACATGAGCTTACTATGTGACATATGTTACTCAAGGAACATAGAGGTTCCTGAGGGGTTTGCAATACATGTGCTCTAAAAGCAGATAAATTTTGCGTGCAGTCCTTATAATTCTCATTGTCGGAAGTGTCATGTGTAGAATGAGTGAGACTTGGGTCAATATCTAGAACTCTAAATATGGAGATAGGCAAGTTGGACAAAGGGACCACACTGGTTACCTTTCCTGTATTGCTCTTCTATGTATGGCATTAATACTATAGCCAAGAGAGAATTGAAGTATTTGTCACACTTAACGTTTGGGGCATTAGTTTAACCAAATTGACATAGTCTCAAATCCTGAGTATCTCTTGAGCCGGCTAACTTTATAGGGAATACAACTAGCTAGAGGATTTGAGTAAGAGTTCGAATTTGACGTGGAGATCCATCAAAGGACAATAAGAACTAAAACTAAAATCAAACTGCGCTTCTTTTCCTTAGTAAGAGAAGAACTGAAAAAGTTCAAAACCACGATTTTGTACCTGCCATTGTAATTCTTTAAGTTTATAATTTGTATAATTTTGATTGAAAAGAAAAATTACAGTTTAAATTAAATAACATAAGTGGTCTGGTGTGTCTCACGCAGTGTTTTAAAACCCGACCTGATCCGGGTGTTAACCCAGAAAACAAGTACCTGAGCCGGGCCAATTTGTAATCGTTTGAACAATTAGAGCATTTCCAAGATAATAGGTAAAAAACACAAAAAATTCAAAATTTAGCTATTTTGTCCTAAAATTTCACTCCAACAAAATATCTCCAAAGCATGTAAAATAGCATTTTACTACAGTGAAACTCTATATTTAGAGTACCAATTTAGCAATATGTATAAATTATTTATAATATTTTATCTCTCCTCCTTTCTTTTTCTCTATTCTCTCTCTTTCTCCCTTTCACTATGCCTAAAGAAAAAATAATACAAAAGGAATGAGAAATAATATTTAAAACAAGTAGTTAAAAATATAAAAAATATGTTGAAGTGTGTATTGAAAAAGTGAATAGTTAAAATAGAAAATGTTATTTTTTGAATAGCTAAACTAACTTCTATTGTTGGAGATACTCTTAGCCCACCACCAAATCGGTCAAACCGGAGTAAACCGGTCATTTTTTGAATAACCCGTTAAAAACCGTATAATTTCCTCAAAACTTCTTTCTACCTAAATGTGTACTAAATTTTTTAATGAAAATTGAGGCTAAGTCCTCCTAGATGAACTTATAATGATTTGAGTCTGATAAGAAAATTTAAGTCCGTTTTTAAACTTATAAGTAGGTAATTAAGTCCATTTTTTTTTAATCTCAAAAATATCTCTAACGGTGCTAGTTTTGTTCAGTTATTAAAAGTTATAGATGTTAATTCATTGAGATATATATGGAAGGAAAATATGCCTGCCTAATTTTACGCTAGTAATTGATTGTCATAATCTTTCCATAACGCTCTCTCTCGTCCCATATAACTTCCCTTTCTTAAACAGACTCCTCACAAGCTCTCATATCTGTCTTCCCAAAAATCAAAGTCTCATAGGCCATTGCCACCGCCAATCTAAAAACCAAAATCCACCGCCATCAACAACCCACTAAACCTCTCCTATCCATTACTCCCACGACATCAAACCCACCCACAAAAAACTTCGACGAAATGTCTCGAAGTATGTTACTATTTTTTCAATTCTTGAAATACTATGCTACTACTTTTTTTTTTGCACATGTTACTATGATCGACGAGATTTCGATTTAGGTCTCGATTTAGTTGGTTGTATATTTTTGTGAAGACGACGACGTTGTACTGGTACAATTTTTTTCCATGTTACTATTTCTGTTTTGTTGGGCTTGTTCATATTACTACTTTTTTTTATGTTACTATTTTTTATTAAACATGTCACTATTTTTTTTTTATAAGCATGTTACTGTTAATATTAAATGTTAATATTTTTTCCAAAATATTAATATCCAATGATACTATTTTTTGTTGAGTATGTCACTATTATTTTTTTCAAATATTAATATACAATGTTACTATTTTTTATTTTTGAATGTTACTATGTTTTTTGTGTTTAAATGGTACTATTTTTTGTGTTTAAATTGTACTATTTTTGTGCTTGAATGTTATTATTTTTTATTTTTAATGTTAATATTAAATATTACTATTTTTCTGAAATATCAATATTAAATGTTACTTTTTTTTATTGAGCATGTTACTATTATTTTTTTAAATATTAATATAAAATATTACTATTTTTTATTTTTTAATGATACTATTTTTTGTGTTTAAATGATACTTTTTTTTATATTTGAATGTTGCTATTTTTAATTTTTAATGTTACTATATATATATATATATATATATATATTAGTTATTGTCTGTACCTGAAGACACAGAGTAATAAAAAATGGTAGACAATAAACATATTTGTATTCATATCTAAAATAAAATCACAAACATGGAGGAGAGACAAATGAATTTAAGCATCAATTGTAATGGGGGTGAGAGATGGTGGACGACAGTGGTAATGGTAGGAAACGGTGATGGTTGTGGTGGGTGGCAATGATGGTGGTGGTGGGGGGGGTGGCGGTAGGGGCGGTGGTGGTGACGATAACGACGACAACGGTGGCGGTGGTGGGGGTGGTGACGGTGGCGGCGACGGTGGCGATGGTGGTGACGGTGGGGGTGGCGGTGGTGGTGGTAGAGGTAGTGGTAGTGGTGATGGTGGTAGAGTTAACGGTGGGGCGGTTTCAAATACTATTTTTTTAAATTACTTATGAGAAATAATTCGTAGAAATATTTTTAAAAAGTCACTTCAAACACATCCTTAGAGCCTATTTTTTCTATTAAATTTAGGGTATTAATATTAGTCGTTAGATTAATTTTAAAATAAAATTTAAAGTGATCTGAGTTTCGAAAAACAAAAGTCATTTTGTTTATCTTTTGAAATTTGAATTGTAAACTACTTTATTATATAAATATGAGAGATATACCCCTAACATATATATGAATATAGATAAATATGAGAGAGAAATTTTAATGTTAGTCAAATTTCTAAGATTTAGAAATTTTTAATTTTTAGTTTCACTTATAGATAGAAGGGATAGTCTAGTAAAATTGACAAAAAACGAATTTCATTTTTAATTTTTTAATTTGTTATTAAACTTTAGAACTCAAGTGGCCCATTTGACAGTAATCACCAAGCTTAGCTTTCCAGACAGAATTGCTATTTTATAGGCACATACCCCTTTACTCTTTTTGTTGCATTCAAATGTGGAACGAGAATGTTAGTTGATGTTCTATTTTTTATGCCTTTCCGTATTCTTTGAGCTAATTTTTTTTTCTTTCAATTTTTATTTTGATCATCACGTTGTAGTCATTGATGGAAGGAGGAAGGTCCGAAGGGGGATGAGGGTTTGGTTGGTGGCAGTGATGGCTATGGTTGATATTTTGGCTGTGGTGGTGGGAGTGTTCAGTGGTCATCTATCCGGGGAGAGAATGAAGGCGGTGGGTGAGTTTTGTTGTGTGTGAAGCAGTTATTTGAACATCTATGTGTGTTTGTGTCAAACATGTGCGTGAATATCTGTTGGGTGTCAAATCTCTCTCTCTCTCTGTGTGTCGGTTATGGCCTAATTTGTGTGTGTGCGTTGCAGGGGGAAAGTGAGGGAGATAGGTAGGTGGTGTGTGGCTCAAGACAGAGAGAGATAAAGAGAGATGGAGGTACTAGACAGTAGATTACATCTACATTTTTTAGTCACAATTTCGAATGCATTCGACACTTATTAATTAAGTTCGTTTGATAATTAAAATTTAAACTCTTTTAATATATTAAGTGCTCTTTAAAAATAAGCTACAATATTAAGAGATCATTTACTTAATTTTGAAAATTGAAAGCTCTTAGTAAAATCATTTTTAATAATATTTATAATAGGACAATTATACTCCAAAATATTTTATAATCCTATTAAACTCTAATTAGTCTTATTTTCAAAACCCCTAACCTATCTATCCTCCTTGCCGATCTCTTCTTCAACGGGTAACTGATAAATCTTCTTCTTCTTCTTCTCTTCCTTGCGTTCTGCAACAAAA